CAAAGTGTTGTGCTTTTCGCCTAATAAAGAAAAATAAACATGATGCGCGTTCTGCGTTCTCTCTGTCAGTGAAGTCCATTCTGAAACGCGTCCGAAAAATCATCTGTAACTCTGCAAATACTCAGTCAAACAGGTATACAGGCACACAGGCATGAAGCCTGAATTATCTTCTTTTACATAAAGTAATTTATATAAAAAAAAAAATTTCTCATTTTATGTAATCTGTACGAAAAGAGAGAGATGATAGTCCTTCTCGTCTCAGCTCATTAAAGTTAATTTGACCACGCCCACGGAGCGCGCGCTCTATTCAAACACAAATGCTCTGAGGCGATCCACGCCCACACATCAGCTGGATAACCCACCGAAAGAGACTCAGATTTACGACGCTGTGAGGAATAATAGTACTATCTTAATAATAATCCTGGAAAAAATTACCTCAGAAGTAGGCTACAGGTAGTTTCATTTGGAGGAGCAACGGATCCAGCCGAGGAAATAGGTACATTCTTTATTTTCAAGTGCTTTGTGCTAATCGCGATATGGAATGGTGTCTGTAAACAAAAAGACTGTTTGAATCGCGTTTTTGTGTGTGAATAAATGAACAGCTTTTACCTAACTATATTCCAATACTGAGATGAGTAAAAATCGACTGAAATATGTTGAAATAAAATATTTGTGTATAAGCAACGTATTAAACTGCAAATTAACATTTATATGTCCTAATCATAAAAACGATATGTTACATATGAAAGACAAGATGTCGTTTTTACTGTAAAATACTGCCACATCAAATAAGCTTGTTTGCTAAGATGTTATTATAGTATTTGTTCGATTGTAAGCTATATTCAAACTAATTAATCCGCAACTGTGAAATATGTATGATAAAATGTATACTTTAGTTTATAATACAAAGAAAGATTACATTTGAAATATAGTTAAAATTTTAATTGTTGTTGTAATTGTAACCTTTTTATTAAAATAGCAAAAATATATGTAGGCTACATATAAATAAATCTTAGGTAAATCTTAAAAGCTCAATATAAGCCTCCTCTTTAAATTATTTGTATTGTGTTTTATTAGTGACACATTTGGGATACATTCCCAAACTTTCTGTAAAAACAGTATGATAATTAACTGCACAATTACTATAAATTTTTACATTTGATATTATACAATTTGCAAGCACAATTTGAAAAATAAATAAATAATTGGAACTGTGAACCAATTTTGTATTATATAGGCATATATACAGTGGTGTGAATAAGTTATTACCCCCATGCTAAAGTTGCCTAAAAAGAGGAATAAAAAATCATCTTTTGGAAATTGATCTTAATGCCTTAATTAGAAAAATGAGGAAAAATCCAACCTTTAAGGACACCAATTTTCTTTGTGTATGAATAATGTATCATAAATAAATAAATGTTCTTCCTTAAAATACAGGGTGCATAAGTCAGGATTGGCATGGTGTTATTTCAGTTAGCCTAATAGCTGGTTTGATTTGCATTGAAAGATGATCTTATGGAAAGTACCCCATGCCAATCTCTAGGTATGGTGAAGGGAATGTGATGATGTGGGTCTATTTTAATTCCAAAGGCCAAGGGAACTTTATCAGGATGCATATTATCCTGGATCCATGAAATAACTGGCCTTTAAAAATAAAAATCTGCCTGACTCTATGGGAATTTAACATAGGGGGGGCCTGACTTATGCACCCTGTATTTTAAGGAAGAACATTTATTTATTTATGATACATTATTCATACACAAAGAAAATTGGTGTCCTTAAAGGTTGGATTTTTCCTCATTTTTCTAATTAAGGCATTAAGATCAATTTCCAAAAGATGATTTTTTATTCCTCTTTTTAGGCAACTTTAGCATGGGGGTAATAACTTATTCACACCACTGTATATATATATTGTCATTGCATTCTTGTGGCTCAGTGACACACCTGAATGAAAGGGTCATTAGTATGCAGCCCCATTATGCGCTCATTATGCGGGCCCATTGTCTTCTCAGGTGTGAATCACAGCAGGTCACACCCCTGCGCATATTGCCTTTCCAAACAAAAAGTGTCATTTTTTAATTTAAACCAATCTATTGTTTTATGTGAATGATAAGGCAGGATGATTTTCAGATCATTTTGAAGAAAAAACTCTAGGCGACAACATCCATTAGTCAAAAGTCTTGTGGACAGATATTTAGTATGTGTTTTGTGGCCTTATTTCAGAAACTTTAAGTTTTAGTTTTTTCAATAACCACGCATAAACAATATTCTCTCAAAAATACAAAAATGTACATACATGTTGATAACATATTATGGTAGCCCTGTTTGTGCTAAATAGAGTGTAATTACACCTTTGCCAGTAATATGTTTATAAGCAACTGAAAAAAGCACAAATGTCAGAGTATGTCAAAACATCTCAAGGACCCCAAAAACACCTTGGACCCCAGAGGGTTAAGGACCTTCCGCACCTACTTCAGGGCCTCATCTGCGTTTTCCAGATTTTAGGACCCTTTTGGTGTTCCTAAAAGCTGTTGAAATGGATTCTGACTCCTTTCCCCACTGCATTGTCACCCAGCACAACCAGTGGAAGACGTCACCGCCATTGAACTGCTCATTCGACCATGAGGAATGTAAATATCAATTAAACAAACCTCTTTCCAGAGACCTTGGGAGTGTTGTATATTATCAGTATATGATGTTCTAATTCACATAAGAGTAATGTAGCTGATGTTAGTTAAAAGCAAATAATCTTTCATTTATATGTTTGATGCATAAGGCTTTTCACCTTATTAGTTTCAGAGAAACAACAGTTTATGTAGAAAAGAAAAAATCCAAGGCACTCTTCTTTAAAAGCCTTTATTTACTGGCTATTTTATGATAGAAAATTGTTTCTATAATGAAATAGCTAGTAAATATAGGGCTTTATAAATAATTTTGAAGAAGAGTGCCTTGGATTTTTTCTTTTCTACATTTATTTGAATTCCCGGCCCCAAAGAGCACCTTCAAACATCTGACTGAACACCCTTAGCACCCTGGACACTTTTTTTGTCTTTCTAAACAACAGTTTATCTTTCCATAAGATAATGTAACTTCCATAGATACACTTAACTTAATCACTTGTATTTTATGTGTCTGATGCACTTTATTCCTTTATAATTCATGGTATTCATTCAGTAGTTGTGTTAGTTATTCTTGTTTATCTTTTTGGTAATAAAATCTATTTTATTACACCTTTGTGCTGATAATAGAGAAGAGGTTTTACAAGTTAACGATATCAATCACCAATCTTTCAGATAAATCAGCTGACCAACTACCTCCAGTTTACATTAATTCTCTCACACTGCCCAGGAACAAGAACTTGACTGGTTCCCTGACCAAAGAGAGGGGGGAAGTAGTTATCTGATATACTCATTACCACACCTTAAGTGATGCGTGATCCAAGAATTACAACGTCAGCTCTGACGTGAGTACCAATTACAGTATCCAATCCATCCATCCATCCATCCTTCCATAATTGTGTCTGTCCACAAGTCAAATTTCAAAGCTTGTTTTTCAAAACGTTTAAACGTTTGGTTTGTTTCGACAAGCTTTGCTTTTCTAGTTAAGAATTTATGGTTAAGAATTTATTTGAAATTTTGCTTCCTGTTTGCTACCTCAATTCAATTATTGAATTGGAATTTAAAAGGCATTCTCAGTTCAATTCTGAATGATGAATGATCCATGTTGGTCACACCTGAAGTGAACACACCACAGCTTGCAATCCATGTGAACACACCACAGCTTGCAAAATACAGCAGTGTGATGAACAAGTGCATTGATCTCATAAAGATGACCTCAGCAAAACCTTAATGAAAAAAGCAACTAATAATCAGGAACAACCATAAATACACAAATGGCACAAGATATAAGGTCTCTGTCCGGATTGTACAACATTTCCACAGTCAGGGTGCTGCTGTAGATATTAGGGTTCTGATTTATTGGCTTTGTGCATCATCAGAAACATCAAATCCTAACAAAGGTTTATGAATGGAGCAGGGCAGTTGTCACTATAATGTGACACCCATGATTGCAGAAGCCTCAAGGATACACCATCAGGAATATGAAAAGAAATGGTCCCATGAGAGAATGACAAAGCCAACGGGAATACAAATGATTTCCATTACTCATCATTTATGACCCTTTTCAAACAAACTAAAAAGCTCCTTTGAGTATCAGCAAAAAAAGGCAAAGATACAGACTCGTAATGGAAGGGCTCTACAGAAACTGTCAAATTAATGAAAGGCTACTTTGAATAATTCATATGCCATTTGAAATTTCGTTTGTGATTGAGTGGCAGAAATGTTGTGAAATGGAAACTATGTCTCTGCCCTTTGAGTTCAACCTAATATTAAAAAGCTTCATTGCATAAGAATAATCGCATAAAACCATTTTCATCTCTAGCAGCTCATGCAGAGAGCCTGATATTCTAGAGCAGTGGATATGAACTGATGGGTCACGCCCTAAAAATGTGCCTCCTCAGGTCTGTTCTGATGGGTCGTGAAAGGCAAGGGAAAAAACAATGTTGAATGCCAATATAAAACAGCAACAAACCATATAATCATGCATCTAAATTCTCTATATTTTAGTGCAAATTAATACCAACATAAAAATGGTCACGATAAACGATAAAAGTTTTTGCTGAACAATTCATGTGTTACACTGTTGCCAGCAGAGATTGAAATGATTTTGATGATTGAATTATTATTTGTATTTTTTATTATTATTTATTTGTATGATTATTATTTTATATTAACATTAAATCTCAATGTCTTAAGGATATTTTTTTGTATGATACATCAGTATTGATTGCTCTGCAAATTGATTTCCAGTGTAGAAATCTGGATCCTGAAGCAAAACCAGTTGAGAACAATTGATAGAGCATCAGCACAATGTTAGCTAGTCTCGTTTATAAGACAGAAGGAAGATAAACAGAAAACACATCTGTTTTCTGTGAGACTCACAAGAAAAACTTCTCATCCCAGATGGGGTTGAGATTGCCGAAAACAGTTTTGGTCCTGCGTTTGGTCTTTCCCACTTGTACTGTGACGTAGGGGTCGCTGGAGCCCGTCTTGTCTTTGGCTTGCAAACCTTGAGCACACAAAACTAGAGAAGGGAGACAGAAAAAAAGACAATTTTTGCAAATTGTGTATTCTAAATGAAAGCAAAAACATTTGCATTGGAGATAAAATGCTATTGTCTGAAGGATTTTCTATTGTCAGTTTTTTGTTTTGTTTTTAGTTTTATAAATCTGCGATTTTTAGTCATAATTTTGAGATATGAAAACAAAGGTTTAAAGATTTCAAGTTACGCTGGTGCCAGACACTTCGTAGGACCACAATCCATCCTTGAACATCACTCATGTCCTATCTGAATGTGCGTATACATATGGCACCCTAACTAATAACTGCAATAATGCAACACAAAAACAGTGTGTAGCCTGACTGTGGCACTAAAATCAGTCAATGGGGATACCATTCGTCACAGAGCCAATAGTAGTTCACAGGAAGCTCTTGCCTCATTAATTATGAACGAGCAGGGTGCTAAATTATTCAGGGAACATATATCCTTGGGCTTGGAGACAGACAGACATTGGTGCAATGTCACCGGGCTGGTTGAAGAGGGTAATATAGTCCGAATAGTTTAGCTAGAATGAAAGAGCGATGGCATGTTTGTGCTTCCAGAGGTGTGTTCACACATTGATGTCATGTTAGAGTGTCTGACAGTGACGGTCATATTGGTTTTGGGGTCATGGCACAACACTCTCTCACTGAACGATAGAATGCTTAAAAAAATGCTGTCTAGGTGGACGGCTCACTAGATTTGCAACATAGCAGGCATTTTCTTTCATGAACACTGAACAGAATAATGCATATTCTGAAACATTCTTCATTTTTACATCAAATAAAGAAAGCTATATTCTGAATGTTAAAAAAAATATGAAAGCATGAATAAATTAATTAATTAATTATAATAAAATATAAAAAAAACTTCAAATACATAAAATAAAATATTAAATAGATAGATAGATAGATAGATAGATAGATAGATAGATAGATAGATAGATAGATAGATAGATAGATAGATAGATAGATAGATAGATAGATAGATAGATAGATAGATAGATCAGTGTATGTTGCAGTCAAACTAAATCAGAATGCACAGAGGCTAGTGTTGAAACTCAAGATAAATAAATCATTGCATGAATACTTTCTAAAATGGGAGTTTCGACCGTACGCCAGGATAAATTAAAGCAGAGAGCTGTTTTTCTCTCTTTGTTCTATTGACACTCTGGCAGTGTTGCAAGCTTGGCAATAATTCACAGCCTCTGTTGACCCTCAAAGTCAGGTGAAGGAGCAACACTGATACGGACACATATAGGAGCAAACTTCACCTGGCACTGGCTGAACTAATACAGTGGCTTCTGGAAGATAAAATATGACCGAAACATAGCAATGTGAGGATATACGTCATGCAGACGGACAGAAACTGTTCTTTATGACTCAGAGAGACGGATGCGACTGCCTATGTTTCTGTCCACAGCAGATGGTTGTTGTCGTCTGGCGGTTTAAGCTGTCAGAAAACAAGCAAAACTCTCGGCACATTTCCCAAACTAAACTGAGCAGCATTTCCTCCCTGTAGGGTCTGATCCAGCCACAGACGCAGAGATGCACAAATAGACTTTAAGGGTGAATCTCATGAAATTTGTCTAGAACATGCTCGGCCAAAACCTTTTTATTTTTATTTATTTATAATTGTATAACTTTAAATTTATATTGTATAACTTTATAGTAATACTTCTATATAAACTTAAATTAAACAAGAACATGCCAAATTTAACTGCAAAAATAATAATAAAACAAATTGTTTATTTGACATATTTTGTATACATTTTTATAGAAAATTAATTAAATGTAATAGTAATAATTTATAATTAAAATCTTGCTATTTTATTTATTACATTTGCAATACAAATTTTGGTTATTTTAACATTATTACAATACATAATTAAGATAGTAAGTAAGTAAGACATTATAAACCAACAGCAATTCAATTCTGAATCACATTTTGAATCAATCAATCTATTTGAAACTTGTACATGCATTTTTTTTATCTATTTTATATGACAGTGAAGCCTACTTTTGGACCACTAACATTTGCATGCACTTTGACTTTATCATGGCATTTAAGCAAATTCTCATTTTAAATTTTGCATGAAATATGACCACGTTCTTGTTAGGTTATGTAAGATTTGCTCATTGCTTACCCGTGATGGTGATTTTGGCAGACCACTTGGACGTCCCCTCCAGCACGGCCTGTTTGGCTGTCTTCAGCTGGGTGATGAAGTCTTCCTTCGTGAGCAGAAACATCTCCTGAATCAACTCGAACACCTCGGGTCGGTTCTTCTCCCTGATTTTCATCCGTTCCTTCATGGCCATGATGATGTTTTGGGTTTTGTCCTCGGCTCCATGTTTCGAGCTCTTCTCTACTGCACCTATAGAGGACGATGAGATTTACATGTCATCTTGCATAATCTCTGATAATATGAGCAGCAGCAATTCCGATTTCTATACTGTCCGGCCTAAACGGTATATAAGATAAAGTGAAATGCATCCTAAATTATAGTACACTAAAAATAGCATGTTAAAGGTGCCTAGATGGTGTATTATTTCTGCAGGTTTTTGAGTCAATATTTCTCACCAAAAAAAAAAAAAGCATTTGGAAAAATGTATGATAACGATTGCCATTTTCAGCAGTATAAAAATGGCAAGGGATTTGAGAACAAGTTTATAAATGTGTGAATCTAAGGAATGGAATTATGCATGTATATAATCTAGTGTTGCACGGTGCACCGATACTTCAAAAGTATCGCGATACTCGGAAATTAAAAACTTCACGATACCTAAATTTATTAGTATCGATACTTCTAAGAATGACCGCGTTCCAGATTTGTAAGAGAGTATTGCATGTTGGTGTGTGCAACGCACGCTTCCAGTGCCTCCCTATGGACGTCTGCGTTTTTCTCCTCATGCGCGTGTGACAGGGCGCGTGAACTGAACGAGCAGAGAGAGAGAGAGAGAGTGAGCGAGCCCCGGTCGCGCGCGCGCACTCTCTCTCTCTCTGCGGAGCCAGGCGAAAGTATAAACAAGGCTTCACCGTCTCAAAACTAAGCGCTGTCTTGCTCTCTCTCTCTCCCTCGCACATATTAATCAAAATAATTCGACACGATGGTAAGGTCGGGAGACTAAAGTTTCATGTGGAGCATTCGGAGTTTTTTTTGTTTTTTTTTCTGAATTACCGCTGGGTGTAAATTGTGGTAAAATACGTTGCCTTATCTTCTCTGAATCGTTCCGCACATTCAGCTGACATAAACCACACTTTAAATAAACGAAAAAAACTATCCAGTCATGAAATGTTTTCTGTGATGACAGTGGGATGTAACCGCCTGGATAATCACACAACGCGCACACGTCCGATAATGACACGTCCAATTCGCGAACTAATGACTCATTTGAACCGATTCGTTTTAATGAATGGTTAAAACAACTGATCTGTCTGAATCGGTGTATAACTAATCGTTAACACTTTGTAATAAGGTTTCATTTATTACATAAAACAAATAAAAACACTTGTTTTTTCCCCCCGAAAAAGCATATGACTACTTTTTTCCACACAATGCTATCATGAATCGATAAGAGAATCGTTAAAGAATCGGATCGATAAGCAGAATCGTCAGTGGCATTGCTATTGATAAAATCTTATGTTTCTTATGATAACTGAGATAATGCTGCTAAATTTATTTATTTTTTTACCTTGAATGTCATTGCTCTAATTTATTTTTTATATTTTTCATATTTCATATTTTGTTCAAATGGTTATTATAGCCTATCTGCTGTTCAAATGTTCATTTATTAGTGTGTTATGATTGGAATGTTGTCCCAGTTTTAAAATAAAGCACAGCAATGATATTTGAGAGTGTTTCTCCCTTTTCAGGAAAAGTATCGAAAAAGTATCGAAATCGCAATTCTTGACTTGGTATCGGTATCGAAACAATAATTTTGGTATCGTGACAACACTAATATAATCAGTATGCAATTATGCATATAATCAAATCCTGAATAATTTAACACAATGCTTTGTGAATGATGGACATTCCATGGACATAAAAATCTATGGAATTTTCGTAATGAAGATTTTATGATGATGTAGTTTGTCTCAATACTGGCGTACTATCTTACTCAACATGTGCTTTCCCATCATCAGTAAAGTACAGACTTCAAGTGCTTAGTATAGTATGCAAATTTACTACCATGTCAACATGCATATAAAAAGTGGATATAGTATTTGCACATCCCTAGTGTGCAGCCCCGAAACAGATGATTATAGATGATTCACTGCCGCTTGAAAAACGTATCTCTCTGCACCCTATTAAAATGAATCATTCATTCAGATGCATGATACATACCTTGCAAATGCTTTATAAGAGTGTTCAAGAGGTGCTGGATGTGGGAAATAAAACCGTGTGTCTCTGAGAGAGACGGTTTACTGGTGTCTCGCCCTAGATGTCTTTCCTTTCATGAACCATGCAGAGAGAAGTGATGCACTAGTCAAACCAAACGCTCATATACACTCACATTCAAACACACACATTCTAAATATGATGAGTTTGGTGGCTCGTTTAATAAATCTCTTTCTGTACAGGCCCATTTGCGTCTCTGGCAGACAGCCACGTCTGTGAGGTTTACTAGGGAACTACATACTGTATATCTCACGCACTTTACCACTCATCTGAGAGCTTATACTAGTGTAGATGGTTATTCTGTTAGTGTCGAACAATAAAATGAACAGCTGCCAAACGCTAAATGTCAGAGATGAGAGCTGCCATGCTATGTGACAGACAGACAATGGCGTTACACAATGGCGAACATTGCTCATGCAGTGTGATAACTTTAACATTTTCAGAAGAAAAAATTAGAATAAACTCGCCATCACAATGCAAAAGTGTCTCTATGGAGTGTTATAAGCATTTACATCTATAACACCCATTTTAATGCAAAAGTAATAGTGATGTTTGACTTAGCAAACACCTTAGTGGTTTTAATGGTGATTAAACAAACTCTGCATTGTCTATATATGAATTCGCCTCAAAAATCATAGGGACAAGTCAGAAACAATTAAGTTCCATGTACGAGGAAGCTCTCAGGAAAAAAGCTTTTGGAATAGCAAACGATCCCTCTCATCCACTCAATAGGGAGTTTGAACTTCTTCCCTCTGCCAGATGTTACAAAGTACCTAGGGCAAATCGTAATATTTTTAAAAATTATTTTATTCCTAATGCAATTCTGAACAACACGATGATGTATTGTAACGTAATTGCTATTGCTGTGCTGCATTTTGCCCCGAAGATGTCTGTGTGTTAGTCCTGTTGTTCTTGTTGTTTTTGTTGTTGTTGGTTTGATTGTTGTTCTTATGAGACCGAAGGCAAATTTCCACATTGTGGACAATAAAATAAAATGAATGAATGAATGAATGAATGAATGAATGAATGAATGAATGAATGAATGAATGAATGAATGAATGAATGAATGAATGAATGAATGAATGAATGAATGAATGAATGAATGAATGAATGAATGAATGAATGAATGAATGAATTAGACAGGGTGAGTGAAATCATCTTTCTCTAAGAAAGATGTGTGCGAACTGTAAAATGTATTTAGTAGCATGCGTGCGAGGGAAAAAATTGTCTTGTTTTCCAGTACAAATATCTAAACATTCTAGAAACAAGAAAATGTTACTTGGGAAAAACGAAATAATGACTGTTGTAACGCTTGACGTAAAGCAAGTCAAATTTGTAGTTTTCTTATGTCTCATTAGAACTACAGAAACGCGACCTGATCTGGCAATCTTGCATAGCGTGGTTATAGCAGATATAGGACCACAAAGCGAATCCAGATGTGCCTTTCACCCTGTTACGACTTAATGAACCACTGAAACGATTTTAGACACATTATTTTAAGGTAAAAAATGTTCTTTAGTGTTGCTTTAAATTTGGCTATGGAAAAACAGATCTACTGTTAATGAATTATGACAATGTTCACTTTATGGTGTTTATGTTTTAATGTGTTGTAGATTGTTGCAAGATGGCATATTTTATCTCCATCTTTTTGAATGAATAGCCGGCAAAAGTAAATCATAGACATTGCAAAATAAGAGTCCCGGTGTACTTCGGGTTTGTTTAAAATGAAAAGAACCGCCTTATGCATAAAGGCTTAGCTGTTTTTTCCTGGTTATTATTGGTATTATGGTTACACAATACACCGTATCTGTGTTATGACTTTTGTTTCACTTCCTGTCTTGTATGCCATGTTTGTAGTCTTTTGTAGTTTTTAACGTTGATTTGTTCCTTTATTGAATCGACAGGTGATCCTAGGCATCGTTAACAACTATTTTATCTAGTAAAATGTGTGATCAGTACCACCGCTCCCTATACACAGAGTATGTGTGATCGCGATTTGGAAAGTGAAAGTAAACGCATTGAAAAGCGATTTCATAGCGATATATAAAGTAATTACCCAACTATATAATTGAAAGAGAACGCAAAAGCATTGAAATATTTATCCCTCCCATCTCATATTTTTTTTCCATCACCATGTCCCTTTAGGGGGCCCGTAGAATGTGTCATTTCCTTTCTGAAGTGGGCTGTATTTTTAATCATGGACTCACGTTGGAGACAGTCTGCATTCAGGAGGTCCTGGCATTTCTCGTGGCATTTCACCCCGCATTCACTGCAGCGCATGCCCTGTCGGGCGATGCCCCAGAGCAGACCCTCACACTCGTGACAGTAGGTGGGTGCAGTGGCCGTCCACACCTCAAAATTATGGGGTGTCGTGGAGGAGATGGGATAGATCAACGCTTGGAGAGTCTTTCTGAGCACATGCAGTTTCTGAGAAAAAAAGAGAAAGTTTACAGCAAAAGGTAACAAAGATACACAATGTTTTTGTTTTGTTTTTCAAATCAATGGAGGCCGTAGAAGAAGAAAAAAAGAGCATTTGCACTGATCACAGGACTCGATATGCACATTATTGCTGTGAACAAGCATGGTCTGGAAATCTACAGTTTATTATTGCAGCTTTCAGGATAACCTGTGTTCAATAGATTGCTGAGTAAAGGGCCGGTTACTCTACATACGAATGCTGGATACTGGAAAAGCAAGCTCATGCAAAGAAGTTTCGCATTTTGGTGCCAGAGACGGTCTTATTATTGGGAGATGTGAGGGTCCGTGACTCTACCATTGGAAAAAGCTTAAGGGCTAACTTGGATCACGTGTGCCTTGATAACCAATCACGTTACAGCCTTGGCGTCATTGACTTTCATTCAGAGTTGTGTGACAGTCAATCACTGTTTGTGAAAACTATTGAAATTAATAAGAAGTGCCGTAAACTGAATCATACCTGTCGCGCAATTTTTCTTGACTTCTCTTATAAAACAGCATTTTTTCGGTGTAAACTCTAAAAATAGATCAATCCAAAATTAATGTTTAAGAGCAAACATGTTGAAGATTAGCCGATGGGCTGTCAATTCATTAAATGATAAGCTATTTCCTCACAAAAACGTTTTTTATTTCAGCGTAATGAAGCCTCTCTCCTCCACATTGATATCCATTAAAAAAAGGCCTCTTGTCTCTTTCCCTGCATACCGCAGCGTTAGTAGGTGTTAACCTTTTTTTGGCTACGGTTGTAGGCTTTCCTTCAAGTGGCTTTGTTGGCGCGTTCCAAAGTTAGGGACTGTATTGGGGTCCCGTATTACTGTATTGTATTCGGGACTGGGATTGTATTGGGTGCATCAAGTTTCATCAATCCCTATCACCAGCAATTTCACTGTAAATATTGTAAATATTCAATATATCACCCAGCCCTAGGAAAGATCTAATTTTTGCAATGTAATAAAATAAAATGTAATAAAATATTAGTCAAGGACTAAGAGATGACATTCAGATTCATCTACATGATCTGTAGGTCAAGATCTCCACTCCTCTTACAAAACACTCACTGGTGTTCAGAAAAATCATAATATCGTTTTTTTTTAAGATGTCATGCTGATATTAATTTCCGTAATTATAGAGCACATATTTAAGCCCATAGTGTTTTCAATCTGTCCCTGTTCATACTAAAAAGGTCTCTTAAAACCTGTCAAGAACATGTCATATTTCCCCCCAAAATTAAGAGTTGTTGAATACAACACACAATTATGTTTATTTAATATTTTGCATAAATACAAAGATACATTACAATTACTTGCATTTAGAATTAAACAATATATTGGGGGTTTTTTTTCACATTACAATAATAAAAATAGTGGAAGAAATTTTTTTTTAAACCCAGGTGGTTATAGTTAATAACAACTAAAACCATAAAAAAACATTTTCGTTATAATTAAAATTATTAGTTATCTTAAGGTCACCAAGAAATCAAAATCGACCCTATATCTACTTTGTTAGTGCACTAGTCACTACTAGCGCATTACTAGTCTTGTGGTAAACAATTCATCCATGAAACTTTCTTGAATTTTGTCTTCATAATCTTTAATCAAAATCTAAAAAAAAAGTACTTCCCCTCTGGAATTGCCTTCATTCTCTAATGACATCAGTTTGACAGCTTGGGTAGAACATCCCTTCCGCTTGCTGCAAGCTTTTGACAGCAAGCTGAATGGAACGCCTACTTTTCTAGATCCAATCAATTCCCAGTGGGAAAAAAACAAGCCAAGCCATCCATTTTTCTCATTCAGTATTCAGTTTCACTCGGAAAATATGTCAATACTGAAGTAAAGTCGGTCACAACTTCCGCTTCATGTGGACCACGGAAATAAAAGTTAATAAAAACTATACAGACGTTTAAAAAATAAAAAATAATTAAAATAATAATAATAATAATAATGACAAAAATTAAAATAAAAACAAAAATATTAAAATATCCAAAAAATCACAATGAAACGAAAACTACTAATAAACAACATCACAATGCAAAAAAAAAGAGAGAAAAAAATAGGAATGGTCCATAAAATAAGCTTAATTTTCTGTAAGCAAAAAATTCCATCTATCTTTCTTTAGATTTCGAGGTCATGTTCTTGACAGGTTTCATGTGATTTAACTATTTTGTCAATAGTTTGCATTCACGGGCAAAAGTGGTGGAGAGTATCATAGGAATCCTTTTGAAAGAGCAGAATCAATGTGTGTGTCCTTTTACAGCTGGATAAGACAAAGAGAGAGTGGGAATGAAGGAGAGGTGAGCTGGTGATGCACAGGGCTCTAAACTGATGTTTTCTTGTTTCCCATGGAGCACTTTTGCTGATGTGTGTTCTCTGCTCTCCACCCACAGAGTCATTACGTTAAGAGCTGCTGAGAACTTCAGCCATGTCCAAATGGTGTAAACGTAGGAAAAAAAGACAGTATAAAAGTAATTGTAACTGCAGAGTGAAAATCCAGGCTAATTAGCAAAGTAAACCTAAAAATAGATAAAGGGAGAAACTTCCTTCACCGATCTCGGAGGGGAAATTTAGACACGAAACAGCAACAGCATCCAATGTGAAGTGAAAAAATAACTGAATGCAAAATTGAAACTGCACCGAATGATTAATTGCAGTTGTCCTAGTTATATAAAACACTTAAAGGGGCCACATTATACATTTACAAATTATTTTTTATCCATGAGGTCCACTTATGATGTTAGTCAAGGTTTGCACCTTCATTTATTTTTTCATGACTATTTTCCACCAGGTCTCAAACATTTAGAATAATACAGGTTGTTTTTTAGGAATAAGATTTCTGTCTTTGAAGTGTATATAAAATGTACATCCATTTGGATTACACAGTTTTAACATAAACTAATACATTTTGTGTATTATATACATTATGTATTTATACATTTTACATTTTATGTATATTTGTCAGTCATGCAAAAAAATGGTAAGAAACAGTTTTTTTATGCAATAAAAAAAAATCAAGGAATAGTTTAACTGTTTAACTGGATCTATTTTATTTTATTTGAATAATCATTTTTAAAATGGATTTATTTCAATTGCTTAAAGTGTGAACATGGTTAAAATATGGTCTGATCGCTGCTGGCCGCCACGTGCTCGACTCCTGCTTGACTGACGGCTGATTTCAGGCCAGCGGCGGTAATGTTACGCAAACGAGGAGGATTAACAGCTGGCAGAAACGGAAAAGGACTTTCCAATTTAATCTAGCAACTCCAGAGCAACTAGATGAGTTACCCTCAGAATTAAACACTGGGCTATCAGCCAGAGAGAGAGGGAATATTCATGAAGTAATCGCTCACGCTGAACAAAGCGGTCAGCACTGTCACAAACTCCAGCAGAAATGAGGGACGGAGGAATTAAACCATCTGTCAAACACACAGCCGCTGACCCACAAGCCTCACAGCATCTTAAACAGAAAATGAAATTACTAACAGCATATGCACTTTAAAAAAAAGGTTCGATAGGGGGGGTGGGTTTCACAACGATGCAATAGAAGATCTATTTCTGTTTCCCTAAAGAACCAACAATAACCTATTTTTTTTAGTTTAAAAGAATCTTAGAATCTTTTCCACTTTAAAGAACCTTTTGTGGAATGGAAAGTGTCCATAGATGTTCTTCATGGAATGGTCAATGCCAATAAAGAACCTTTATATTTTAAAATGGTTTTGGAATGACTTGAATGTGGATAAATAATGACAACATTTTCTTATTCTCTTCTTGTCCTTTAAGAAGCATCAGCCAATTAAACATTTGGAAGAGTCCTAAACACCCGGAGCTCTCAGCTTCCAGACCCACTGTGGTGACGTCTTTGGTTGGGATCTGTTTCTGTGCTGGAGGCCACAGCTGGTGTTGGAAATGCTGTGATTTCACATGATCGCTGTGTCCGGAGACATTTGTACGGATCATGTACATAACCATTGAGGTCAGTAAGTTTTTTGTTTGTTAGTTTGTTTGGAAAGAAATTAACACTTTTATTCAGCAAGGATGCAGTAATTTGATCAAACGTGACAGTAAAGACGTTTGTAAAGCAACAAAAGATTTCTGTTTTCAATGAATGATGTTTCCTTTGACTTCTATTCATAAAAGAATCCTGAGAAAAATGTATCACGGTTTCCACAGAAATATGAAGCAGCACAACTGTTTTCAACATTGGTAATAATAAGAAATGTTTCTTGAGCAGCAAATCATCATATTAGAATGAATTCTGAAGGATCATGTGACACCGAAGACTGGAGTAATGATGCTGAAAATTCAGCTTTGCATCACAGGAATAAATGACGTTTTATGATATATTCAAGTAGAAAACAGTTATCTTAAATTGTAATCATATTTTACAATATTTCCATTTTTACTGTATTTCTGATCAAATAAATGCCGATTTGGTGACCATAAGCTTTCAAAGACATTACTTTTCAAAAGCTTGGGGTCGGTAAGATTTTTTAGTGTATATGTCAGCTACTAGAGGTATAGAAACATAAGGAACTACACAGGTTATCACAAGAAAAAAATGCTTGCAAGAAAATACTATTCCAAAGCAGCAGAACCAACGATAGTAAAATGTGGTAACGTGTGTCAAAGCTCACACTACACTTTACATTCCATTCACTTCCATTCATTCACATGGAAATGCATGTGTAGAGTAGACGTTTATATAGTGAGACATTATGAGACATTTAAGACATTATGATATTAGTGAATATAAACTTTACAGATTGACCTTTTGATACAATGCAAAGAATGCATTGCATGGTTGCAATATAGTATATTTTAACATTTTAACAACTTATAACTTGTTGTTTACAATTTATTATTAATTAAAACCCTAAGCCCTACAGTATGACATCATCATGTTACTCATATGCCCGGATCAAAAAAATATGACATGCAAAGAGGCCATTTACATAGAAG